TATAAAATTAACATATTATTTGCATTTTTAAAACTTCTTTATAGCAAGAGGCACTGTAAACAAAGTCAAAACACAAAGAATAGGCTAAGAGAAAATATTTGCAATGCACATAGGAGAGAAAAGGACAAATGTATCTTTTTTCTTTCTTTCTTTTTTTATTGCATTTTAGGTTTTGGGGTACATGTGAAGAACATGCAAGATTGTTGCATAGGTACACATATGGCAGTGTGGTTTGCTGTCTTCCTTCCCCTCACCTATATCTGTCATTTCTCCCCATGCTATCTCTTCCCACCCCCCCACCCACCGTCCCTCCCCCTCCTAAAAGGGATCACAACTCCTGACCAGCAAGGGAACCAGACCAGATGGAGAAGGAGTGTGATGATATGACAGAATCAGACTTCAGAAGGTGGGTAGTAAGAAACTACAGTGAGCTAAAAGAACATGTTCTAACCCAATGCAAAGAAACTAGGAACACTGAAAAAAGATTGGACGAAATGCTAACGAGAATGGACAACATAGAGAGGAATATAAGTGAATTGATGGAGCTGAAAAACACAACACGAGAACTTCATGAAGCATGCACAAGTTTCAACAGCTGAATTGACCAAGCAGAAGAAAAGATATCAGAGGTCGAAGATCACCTCAATGAAATAAAAAGGGAAGGCAAGATCAGAGAAAAAAGCGCAAAAAGGAATGAACAAAATCTTCAAGAAATGTGGGACTATGTGAAAAGACCTAATCTACGTCTGATAGGTGTACCTGAATGTGATGAAGAGAATGAATCCAAGATGGAAAATACTCTTCAGGATATTATCCAGGAAAACTTCCCCAACCTAGCAAGGCAGGACAATCTTCAAGTCCAGGACATACAGAGAACACCACAAAGATATTCCTCGAGAAGAGCAACCCAAGGCACATAATCGTCAGATTCACCAGGGTTGAAATGAAAGAGAAAATGCTAAGGGCAGCTAGAGAGAAAGGTCGGGTTACCCACAAAGGGAAGCCCATTAGACTCACAGCAGATCTCTCAGCAGAAACCCTACAAGCCAGAAGAGACTGGGGGCCAATATTCAACATCCTTAAAGAAAAGAACTTTCAACCCAGAATCTCCTATCCAGCCAAACTAAGCTTCATAAGTGAAGGAAAAATAAAATCCTTGGGGAACAAGCAAGTACTCTGAGATTTCATCATCACCAAACCTGCTCTACAAGAGCTCCTGAAAGAGGCTCTACATATATAAAGGAACAACCAGTACCAGCCACTCCAAAAACATACCAAATGGTAAAAGAGCATCAACACAATCAAGAATCTGCATCAACTAACCAACAAAACAGCCAGGTAGCATCAAAATGACGGTATCAAATTCACACATAACAATACTATCCCTAAATGTAAATGGACTAAATGCCCCAGTCAAAAGACACGGACTGGCAAATTGGATAAAAAGCCAAAACCCATCAGTGTGCTGTATCCAGGAAACCCATCTTACATGCAAGGATACACAAAGGCTCAAAATAAAGGGATGGAGGAAGATCTACCAAGCAAATGGAGAGCAAAAAAAAGCAGGAGTTGCAATTCTCATCTCTGATAAAATAGACTTTAAAGCAACAAAGATCAAAAGGGACAAAGAAGGACAAATGTATCTTAAAGACAAGGTGATCCCAGTGAAAACTGACTAAGGTTCCAAGAGGCTGATCACATGGGAAACAGAGAGTCTCCTCTGTGGCGAGATAACATTTCTCACCATGTAATTTGCAGGACATAAAATCACTGATAACAACTAGTGCGGGTAAAGTGCAGAAAAATACACATCTCATATTCTGTTTATAGTGCCATAAATTATAACTTTTTGGAACATAATATGCATACCCCTGGACCCAGCAATCCCACTTCTGGGGATTTATTCAGTCAAAATAAAAGTACTAATATATAAAGATATATTCAGTAATTCTTGTCACATGTTCTATAATAACAAGAGAAACGATTAAGCAAGCAAAATTGGAAACAACCTGAGTACTCATAATAGGGAATTGCTGAATAAATGATACATTGTATGATACAAACATACTATAGAATACTGTGTAACCATAGGTCCACAGCTTCTTATCTGAAAGCCTTGGGGCAGATACGTTTTCATAACTCAGAATTTTCTTCAGATTTAGAAATTCATTTATATTAAATAATATATGTTTTAATATAAAATAATGTGTTTAACACATAATATGTAATAATATTTTAAATAATACATTTTATACTATGTAATACCCAATAGGGGCTTGGAGGAACACCATGTAATCAAATATATTACTATTTCTACAGCAAAACATGAATATTCATTCCAAATGGAATAAATAAAAAATGACTGCTTCAGGTCAAATTTCATCACCAAGTAAATTGCGGAAAAAAATTGCACTTGGAATGGAGGATAAAGGATTGTGGATGTCATAGGTAGACCAACATATACTAGCTTGAAAATTGTTCATGCTTCATAGCTATATTCAAAAGTAATTTTTAGAGTGATCCATGAGTTATGATGTCATTATTGCAGGAACAAACCAAAGCTCCCACATATATGGATATACATTTGCATAAGCAAAGAGAAATCATGGAGGAGCCACATGAATTGTGTGATTACACTGGGGTGGGAGAGACAATGAGGGTCTTAAAGTGGTGACTCAAAAACATGTCTATATTCTTTGGCTTATTTTAATGAGCTGGCATCACTTTCATAATTAAAATACTAAACTTTTGACAGAAAGGGCAGGTGGAAGAAAACTAAACAAAAGCCACATTTGAAGGCTCCGTAGTCCTTTTACAATGGCAACATGTGCCACTGTGTTTAGAACTATGTGGGTGTGGGGTACAGCAATGACTATGATATACACTCACTTTCACATGCCTTAAAGTGCAAAACAGCAATATGAGTTTGCTTTCTTGCTGGTATTAGAAATAAAGAAATGGACCAGGTACTGTGGCTCAAACCTGTAATCCCAGCACTTTGGGAAGCTGAGGCAGGCAGATCATGAGGTCAGGAGTTTGAGACCAGCCTGACCAACATGGTGAAACCCTGTCTCTAATAAAAATAGAAAAATAAGTCAAGCGTGGTGGTGTGCACCTGTAATCCCAGCTATTCAGGAGGCTGAGGCAGGAGAATCACTTGAACCCAGGAGGTGGAGATTGCAGTGAGCTGAGATTGCACCACTGCACTCCAGCCTGGGAGACACAGTGAGACTCCATCTCAAAAAAAAGAAAAAAAAAGACTAAGAAGAAATAAGGGAATAGGAGGGTGCAGGGGATGTATTGGTCTTGGCTGGAGGAGATGGGTTTGGAGCTACTCCTTTGCAGGATAATAATGCTAAGAGCAAACACTTAAGAGAAGCCTCCCTTCTTCCTACAGGGCAGCATCACTCTGTTTTATGTGTATTAACTCCCTGACTTCTGCAATAGCCCTCTGAGGTGGATATTTATTATCATCATCCCCATTTTATAGATGAAGAAACTGAAGCCCAGCAAGATTAAGTTATTTGCCCAAGGTTATACAGCTACTCCCAACAAAGCTGAGGCCTAAACCAAGGCAGTCTGGTTCAGAGTCTGTGCACCCAACAACTGCTCCACACTGCCTCTTTTCAGGCAGGATGGTGGATGGCTGAATGGAGAGATACTCACTGCAGCCACAGGAAGCCCCAAAGGCTAAAGCAGCCTGGGTATGTTCTAGGAATGTAACTTAGGTACGAATACTGTGCATCCTAGCAAAGACCTGGCTGGGTGACAAGCTTCATCCACAAGTACCTGAAGAGTATTACAAATCCTCACAGAATAAATATCTTGCTGCTGCATCTCACCTAGGACCACCGGACAGATTGCTGGCTGAGCAGCTTGCTCACACATCAGTGCTGGCCGCTGAGTCTGAGATTAGAGGGTTGTATGTTAAACTGCTGGTGCTTTTTCTGTCCACCGTAGCTGATCACATCAAGCATGCCTCTCCCATATGCAGTCCCGTGGGCTTCTCAGCATGACTCAATGCACCTGCTCCAGAATGTGTTTTCCCATCTCTTGGTGATGCCTTCCAATTCCCTCCAAGTCAATTTTGCATATGCCATCCATCTATGCATTTAAGTCCCACATCCCAAATGCCACTCTCAGATTTGGTGAAAATGCAGCCAGCCATTTTCATGTGATGCGATGACAGAAAAATAGAAATGTAAGTGCAGTTGTAACTATTGTCCAAGGATCTTTTAGCTGGAATCTTATATGTACCAAATTCCCCAAAAAGCAAGTACTGATCAAAATTCCCCCCAATGCAAGTAGTGACCATTTGGGTGTTTCCTTCCTCCCTATCCCCTTCCTTCTCTTCTATTTATCTCCTTTACCTGCACATACTTTGTTTCTTTCATTTCCTTTCTCTCCCTCTTCCTTGCTTGTCCTGTTTTTTGAACACCTACTTTGTAGGTGCACTCAGCCTATCCATGCCCCATCCACTGCCATCACTTCAGCCTGGATGGGAGGTGGTCTCAATCCCCTAGCCTTCTCCCTACTAAATTTACCAAGAACAATACTAAGGTCTCCAGTGACCATAGCGGACAAACAGCAGAACAAGCAGTATCCTCTGGGTAGGTGGGGGAAGAATCCTCTCCACCCACCCCTGCCCCAGCCACAGCCCACCTACAGCTTTCCTGGGAGAAGGAGTCTGGACTGACCTGTCTTGTTTATTTCCAGGAGCTTTAATTCTCCACATCAGTCTCTCTAAACTTTTAATCCATAAAAAATGTATCCTACCCCTCAATATATTTATGCAAAACTAATATGCCTATGTTACCAAATGAATTCACATTCTGAAACATGCACACAACATAAACATTTTTAAAGTATCAGATAAAATAGCATTATAATTAGAAGTTCTAATGTTTTCTTCCTGTATCCACCTTGCCTCAAAACACAGCTTTAAATACCCAGCTGCCTGCAGCCCATGCTAACTTGAGTTTCTGTTTCTGTATTTGCAGGACATGTTCACATTACAGACTTCAACATAGCAACGGTGGTAAAAGGAGCAGAGAGGGCTTCCTCCATGGCTGGCACCAAGCCCTACATGGGTGAGTGTTCCAGCACCTTCTTTTCATGTGATCAGGCTCAGTGCCTAAGACTCAGCATCCTTCTCTTGTTTCATCGGCTACTGCCCCCGCCACACACCCTCCCCCCATGCTCACATGAGGTTCCATAGTTCCCAGTAGATAAAATGCTCTCCCAAAGCTCTGGACCTTTCCAACCTGTCTCTGCTTGGCAACCTCTCCCTGCTTGGTTTTCTAGAGAACTGCTCAGCCAGAGAGCCATAGCTCAGGCTTGAGAGGGTGGCAGATGAAACAAGTATTTTCTTTTCCATTTATGTTCAGTATTTGCCAGAATTTAACTTGGTGGTGGTCATTTGAATAAAAGATATGGAGAAATATGGGCTTTAAACCTTTGTGCCCTTTTGTGCTGTACTGATTACATTTTCTAGCCTTAAACACATATTTCTTATATTATTGGTAATGGTAAATGGGGATTATCTAGGCATAGAACTTGTGCATATGATATATTAATAGGAATCAACAATATTGAAACAAAAGAGGAACAGAAAAGTATCAAAGTCAAATTCCAAGTTATTGTAAGTCAGAGGAGAATGAGGAGCAGAATAACACCATTGGAATAAAAACACACAGAAAGATGTGCTGATAAAACAGACTGAAACCATTGCCTACTTTTCAAAAGAGTTAAAAGACACAGTGATGGGTTGTTACATTAATGGTCCTCCAGTGAATCACCCAGTGTTCTTGCAATGTGTAGTTTTAAATGGTTTTTTAAGGAATTTTTATGGAATTATCATTTTCAGTATCCATTCTGTTCTCTTACTTTTGTTTTCTTGGTTATGGATGCCTCTTATCTGAATGCTGGATCATCTTTTCCAATCTTCAGCAATTGTCACTGTCCCTCAAATCTTTATTACCTCTGGCTTCATTTCTTTAAAAATATTCTTGGCCAGGCATGGTCACTCATGCCTGTAATCCCAGCACTTTGGGAGGCCGAAGTGGGCGGATCACTTGAGGCCAGGAGTTCGAGACCAGCCTGACCAATATGGTGAAACTCTCGTCTCTACTAAAAAAAAATACAAAAATTAGCCTGGCATGGTGGCAGATGCTTGTAGTCCCAGCTACTTGGGAGGCTGAGACGGGAGAATTGCTTGAACCCAGGAGGCGGAGGTTGCATTGAGCCGAGATTACACCACCGCCCTCCAGCCTGGGTGACAGAGTGAGATTCTGGCTCAAAAAACCAAAAAAAAAAAATCCCATTGTTATATTTCTCTTTCTCCCAAGGTGTTATCTATTGTATTTGTTTTGTGTGTTTTTTCTAGCGAAGGCTTCATTTCTGAAATCATTTTCCCTTTATTTCTTTCTCCCTAAGTTCTCTCACCTGATTTCTGAGTTTTTATTCTAATTTATGTTATGTCTTATATAATTTTGTTAAAGCTTTTATTACATGTTAATTCTGAATGTCTATATTTGTTATCAATTACTGTGTAACAAACTGTCAAAACATAGTGCTTTAGGACAATCGCAATGTTATTTCTCACAATTCTGTTGGTTTACCAAGTTGTTTCTCTTCAGGGTTGGCTGGGCTCACTCATGAAGATGCATTCAGCTGGCAGGTCAGCTGGGAGTTGGGTTCAGCTAGGACAGCTGAGATGAATATATCTCTCTTTCTCTATGTGGTCTTCCATCATCAAAGTGGCTAGAGTGAACTTCCTCATATGGTTTCAAGATAAGATGGTAGAGCCACTTCCTCCATGCTTATCAGAACTCTGCCTGCTTCACATTTCCTAATGTTCAGCTGGTCAAGGCAAGTCACATAGCCAACCACGTGGAAGGGAACGGCATGGGGTACCGGTATCAGAAGGCTGATTCACTGGAGGACCATTAATGTAACAACCCATCACTGTGTCTTTTAACTCTTTTGAAAAGTAGGCAATGGTTTCGGTCTGTTTTATCAGCACATCTTTCTGTGTGTTTTTATTCCAATGGTGTTATTCTGCTCCTCATTCTCCTCTGACTTACAGTAACTTGGAATTTGACTTTGATACTTCTCTCTTCCTCTTTTGTTTCAATATTGTTGATTCTTATTAATATATCATATGCACAAGTTCTATGCCTAGATAATCCCCATTTACCATTACCAATAATATAAGAAATATGTGTTTAAGGCTAGAAAATGTGATCAGTACAGCACAAAAGTGCACACAGGTTTAAAGCCCATATTTCTCCATATCTTTCTCCCAAAGGTTACAGCTATTCATGTTTTCTTTTCATTTTCTTTTTTTCAAATGGAAGAAGGAGGCATTAGGAAGAGTAGAATCTGATAACTGGACGAAGCATTTATAAGCAGTACCAAACCAGAGGTGCAACTTTTGCCTCAGAAAACTAACCACTGGGATGAGGAGTCCGCCATCTTGGCCGAACTCTCTGCTGCTGTCTGTCATTTAGCAGTGAAAATGCCATTTTCAGTTTGGCCTCACTTAACTCTGGTCAGGTTGTGCCTTATAGGGCACTGTATATTGAATTAAACAACCAAAAATCTTTCTTCTCTGACCTCACACACAGTGCCTAACACAGCCCAGAGGAGTTAGGGTTGCACGTGGGTATTGGGGTGGGGGGACGCGGCTTAGTTTGGACATGGTCGAGGGTTTGAGTTCCACATGGCCTGAGGAAGAAGAGACCTCTCTGAGCCCTTGGCAAAGCCTAAAGTCCAGTCTAGCTTCATGAACACTAGGTTTTTGGGGATCCAGTGTAACCTTCTTATTGTCTTTCTTACACATTTAAAAAGAAATGACTATTTATTTCCCTGGAAGGATAAATTCCACCTTTGGACTTGAGATCAAAATAAAACCAGCTAAGGGGCCTCCAGCAAGAGAGAGGGGTAGAAATTGCTTATTTATGTGAACTTTGTTTTCCTGAACTTGCAGAAGACGGCGTGGTTCAGGATAGCATTCCTAACTTAACAGACCTATCTCTTGTGTTGTTTGTGAAGTGTCAAAAATCTCAGGCAGCTTGTTATTAAGGTTTCCTGGCTCCGTTCTCCTCTCCCATTTGTATCTGGAGTTTCTCTTTCCTTTGTCTGCAGGGTTCCGGTCCTGATGCATTTTGGTTTCACTTCACTTCACACAGTTTTTCCTTGGGGCTTTTTCCTGGAAGGAGCTGTGGGTGGGTGGATTATAGAATTTTGATGTCCCAGACTCTTTCACCTCCTCCAGAATTTATCAACAGCCATTTGAATGCTCCCGATACTAGACTGGGCAAACTCCTAGCAGCTTCAGCTGCTGTTCTCAATGTGGTCAGCTGTGTTTCCCGGTGAATACCTGCTGAGTATTTTGGGGTTGTCCGTTTTCTGGTGCGTAGGATGCTGCTTCGTTCTTTCTGTGTAGAAATCGCTACCATGCAGGTCTTGTCACTGTTGGTGTTTTACTCCTACCGATTTGTATTTTGAGGGTTTTGGAAACAACTTAATTTTGCAGCAAATTCATTTTGCTTTAGAGATCTATTTGCTCTGTGGAGATTCAAAATCTATATCACATCATCTCCCTATAATCCACTACTCATGTCATTAATCTTTCATTTATTAAATAAATGGACTAAATAAAGTTTGGCTACAAATACTTGCAATGGTGTAAGTAACAGGCAACTTGCTTTTGAGTATTTACTACACGTCAGGCACTGAGCTAAGTGCTTTCCACCTATAATTTCATTTAATGTGAAGACAAGTTCATTAACTATAACCTATAACTTCTTTTAATGCCCTCGAACATGAGATAGACACAAGTATTTCTTTCCATTTTAGAGTTAAGGAAATGGAGGCTAAGGAGGTTGGGTGACTTTCCCACATTGACATTATTGGCAAGAGTCAGACCCAGGTCAATGTGACTCCAAAACCCAAGCTTTGAAATACATCTCAATCTGGCGTCTCATGACTGCAACTCCTTTTTAGCAAAAATACCAGCAGATATCCATATAAGTGAATACATCTGCTTACAAGTAGCCTTAGTCTTCATGGGAGCCCGGACACTTATTCCAACATGGGTTTTTTTGTTGACAACCTTTCTGAAATCCCTTTCTGGAAGAATCTGGAGCTGGGGCAAGTCTGACCAATGAGGTCACTGCCTTGAGATTCGAGAGAGATTAAATGGGGGTATTCAGCAACTGATGGGATGGAGAATGGGGGCAAAGGCTACTTCCCGGGTCTCTGGATTGTGCAACAGAGTGGTGTTAACTCTGTAGGGGACACAGCAAGAGCAGTAGGTTTGTGGAGTGGTGTAATGCGGATGGAGAACCTGCCAGCACTGAGATGCAGCAGAGCCAAGGGAGTGGATGAGATCCCCCAGGGAGAATGCAGGAAGGCAGAGGACTGATTCCGAGGCTCAGCAATGCTATGCTGGAAGGGGCAGGTGGAGGGTGAGAAGGACATCCCACAGGAGAGGGTCGAGAAGAGAGATGCCAGGTAAGGGCAGCAGCTCCCATTAGAAGCCTCCACTGTATTCCTACAGATTTGTTCTGATTGCCTTCACACTATTTCCAAAAAGCAAGCTGATGTCAAGGAGTGTAGAGTCTGGACCACTGGAGAAGTTCAAGACAGTTTTGTTTTGTTTTTCAAGACAGAATTTTGCTCTGGTCGCCCGTGCTGGAGTGCAATGGCATGATCTCCGCTCACTACAACCTCCACCTCCTGGGTTTAAGCGATTCTCCTGCCTCAGCCTCTCGAGTGGCTGGGATTACAGGCACACACCACCTTGCCCAGCTAGTTTTTGTCTTTTTAGTAGACATGAGCCTTCACCACGTTGGCCAGGCTGGTCTTGAACTCCTGACCTCAGGTGATCTGCCTCCCTCAGCCTCAACTACAGGCTTGAGCCACTGCACCTGGCCAAGTTCAAGGCAGTTTTCTGCCAGCCCTGATGTCTCTGCCTGCACATGGTGCCATGCCTAGGAGACTCACCCGAGCCTCCTCACAGGCTCTACTTGGGCTTCCTGGCTTCCTTCCCTGCCTCACACTGTTTGAAGCAGCCCAGTTCAAG